TATTACTAATAGACCACTAAATTTCGCATGTCATATTTTGTGACATATCATAGAGGTATGTCAGAGCCGCACTCGACTATTGACGTGGTTTTCTTATAATTTTACATTAATATACCTAGCCATGATGCCAAGCTGCTTATGTACCCACACCTTTACTTTACAAAATGGATACTCATGCCAAATTTCAAGTTTTTACCTTCACCCCATTTTTACAATTTTAAAAGTTTAGTACCATTTTAAAACTTTTCGTAACCTCAAAACCAAAACCCTTCCAAAAACCCATTGGTACATCTGTCCTGCACTCCATCAGTGAGCATTTGTTTGTCCAATACAAAGTATTAAATTATTAGTAAATTTTAGTACATTTCGTACCCTTTTAGTACGCCCACGCACCTCGTGTAAAATTTTAAGATTATAGGCACAGCCTTTTCGTCTGGGAGTTGATTCTCGTTTAGCCAGTCAGTTATTTCACTACTCTTTTATATACATAGATACCTGATACCAAATAATTAGGAATTTTTATACCTCAATCATACAATCCCATAGAAATCTTATTTCCAAATTTCAGAATTCCAGCTCTATCGGTTCACCACCATTTCAGTTTGTACCAAATGTAGTACAGGGTTGTCCATATTCGACGGACCCATCTGGCAACGCCATAACGTTTGACACAGATGTCACATCGCTTAATAACATACCGCGTTTGAAGCGTCAGTCCAAGCAGATTTTTACCATGAACCAATACACACCACGCGAGCGCTCGGAAATAGTTGAAATTTACATTCAACAGAAGAAGTCAATTGTGAAAACTCAACGTGCTTTTAAAACATTAAAAAATGTGAGAAGTGCGCCTTCTAAGAACACCATTAAGCGTTTATACGAAAAATTTTCGACTGGTAAGGCTCTTTCTAATTCGAAGAGGCCATATAAAATCGCTGCCGTACGAGCCAGTGTTGAGAGGTCTCCAAGAACATCCCAAAAACGCCGTTCTTAGCAGTTGGGCATGGCTCGGTCCACTTTACAACGGATTATTGGCATTGATTTGTATTTGTTCCCGTACAAAATTCAATTGACGCATAGAATGTTGCCTGCGGACAAGCCTCGTCGATTGGAATGGACCCAAAGAGTCATGGGTCCGTCGAATATGGGCAACCCTGTACCTGTTGGTACACATAAGTACACATTTCCAAAGCCCAATCCAACACTCCCACAATATTCTCAGTTCCCAATTTCAGGATTCCACCCATATAGGTTTACCCAAATACAAATTGTGCCAAATTTAGTACCTGCTAGTACACATTAGTACAAATTCCCATAAATACCTGCATCATATAATCCAATAGAAACCTTATTCCTAAAATTCACGATTCCAACTCTGCAGGCTCTCCCAAAATTTTAATTTACCAAATTTAGTACCATTTTGTACACATAAGTATTCCAGCTTTATCAGTTTACCCAATTCGAAATTGTACCAAATTTAATACCATTTTTTACTTTTCGTGTACATAAGTACAAATTTCGAAAACTCCATATCCATATCCTAATCCTACACTCCGCCGGTAATGTTAATTTCAAATTTCAGAATTCCAGCTCCATCCGTTTTTCCAAATTCAAATTGTACTAAATTTAGTGTACTTAATGGCACTAAATTTAGTACAATTTGAATTTGAAAAAACGGGTACACATATCCATAAATGAGTACACATATACAAAATTACCTCTTTAAGCTTGATTCCAATTTCACATTTTTATACCCTCCACCATCCTATGGAGGGTATATTAGCTTTGTCATTCCGTTTGTAATTTCTCGAAACATTCATAATAGACCCTACAAAGTATACATATTCTGGATCAGCGTAAAATTCTCCAGCGATGTCCGTCTGTCTGTTGTAATCACGCTATCTTTCGAGAAGGCTAAAATTTTGCATATATGCATAGTTTGCCAGTAGGCAAGTTACCTTCGTAAATGGGCCATGTCGGTCCACGTTTTCGTATAGCCATCCCCCCTATAACAGTACCTCCCTACATTGGGTATTTTCATGATTTTAGCAACATTATTTACCGGAATTATTTCGAATTTCATATTTAAAGTTCGTAATGGGAACTACAGTCTGTGACGGAAAAGTGTCCATGCAGGTCCAGGAGTTCGTATAGCCCCCTTACAACAATATCTCCCGATTGTCGGTATTTTTATGATTTAAGAAACATTGTTTACCAAAATTGGTTCAAATTTCGTATTGGAAGATTTTAATTGGTACTACAACCTATGGAAAAAAGTTGCCTATGCAGGCCCACGTCTTCGTATAGCCCCGATATAACGGTACCTCCCGATATCCGATATTTTAATGATTTTAGCGACATTATTCACTGGAACTTTTTTAAATTTCCTATTTGAAGTTCGTAATGGGTACTACAGCCTATGACAAACGTTTTTCATTTAAGTGGTAGTTTTCGGATTTTGAAATTTTTTAAGTTTCTTCCAAATGGTGGAGTGTATTAATAGTTCGTTCTGGCCGAACTTAGCTGCTTTTTTACTTGTTTTTTTATATGCATCATACACTCCATCAGTAACCCTCGTTCCAAGTTTAAGAGTTCTAGCTCTACTGGTTCGTCAAATACATATTTAGTACCCTTCAGTACTTTTCCTACCGTTCTAGTTCGTATTTCCAAAAACCAAGCCAATAGTGACCCTCACTCAAAATTACAATCTTTTCGCTTCAGCCGTTCCGTCTGGGCGTTGATAACTCAATAAGTCTGTCAGTCAATCGATCACAATCAATATTTTAGTGACAGAACACATTGGGGATCAACAACATTTCATCCTATAGTTGTGCTTTAAATGTTAACATAGCTCTGTTATTGACCTTCATATACTACACATTGTCTAGTCTCTAGTTTTAGTTTTGTCTTCGCTGGCAGAAACGTTTTTCTATAGTCCCCAAATACCAAATTTGGAACAGTTCCGATACTGTTATATATAGAGGCTAAAGGAAAACGCGAGGCAATATAAACAATGTTAAGCCAGAGGGGGTAAAACCCATTCCAAAAGTTAAATATCGAATTCCAAAAAAAAAAACATTAAGTTCGGCCGACCGAACTTTTAATACAATCCACCTTAGGGTAATGGAAACATTAGAACCAATTATGACCCACAAATACGAATTTTTAGACTTATTCGTGGCAAAAATCATCAAAATACCGAATATCGGGAGGAACCGCTATATATAGGACTATACAAAAAACGTGGACCTATACATACAATGTTTCGCCAACGGAGCTAGAACCTGTTATGTCAAACTAATACCAATTCTCAGACAAATCCGTGCAAAAGTGTGACAAAATCCATCAAAATACCGAATATCGGGAGGTACCGTTATATGGGGGCTATACGAAAACGTGGACCTATACATGCAATGTTTCGCCACCGGAACTAGAACCCACTATGACCAACAAATACAATTTTTTTTGACAAATACATGAAAAAAATGAGGCAAAAACAATCAAAATACCGAATATCGGGAGGTACCGTTATATGGGGGCTATACCAAAGCGTGGACTTATACATGCAATGTTTCGTCACCGGAGCTAGAACCCACTATGACCATCAAATATCAATTTTGAGACAAATACAGGGTTGCCCATATTCGACGGACCAATGTCTCCAATCGACGAGGCTTGTCCTCAGGCAACATTTTTTGCGTCAAATGAGTTTTGTACGGGAACAAATGCAATGCAATGCGAATAATCTGTTGTAAAGTGGACCGAGCCATGCCCAACTGCTGAGAACGGCGTTTTTGGGATGTTCTTGGGGACCTCTCAACACTGGCTCGTACGGCAGCGATATTCTCGGCCGATCGCCTTGGTCGACTTTTATATGGCCTCTTCGGATTAGAAAGAGCCTTACGAGTCGAAAATTTTTTGTATAAACGCTTATTTGGTGTTCTTAGAAGGCGCACTTCTCACATTTTTTAATGCTTTAAAAGCACGTTGAGTTTTCACAATTGACTTCTTCTGTTGTATGTAAATTTCAACTATTTCAGAGCGCTCGCGTGGCGTGTATTGGTTCATGGTAAAAATCTGCTTGGACTGACGCTTCAAACGCGGTATGTCATTAAGCGCTGTGACATCTCTGTCAAAATTATGGCGTTGCCAGATGGGTCCGTCGAATATGGGCAACCCTGTACTCTTTTGTCTTTGCTGGCAGAAAATTCTCATATAGGCCCACTTTCCATAGTCCCCAAATACCAAATTTGGAACAGTTCCGATACCGTTATATAAGGGCTATAGGAAAACTTAAAACCCATTCCAAAAGCTAAATATCAAATTCCAAAAAAAAAAATGTTAAAAAAATAGGGGGCTAAAATCATCAAAATATCGAAAATCGGGAGGTAAAGTTATTTGGGGGCAATATGAAAATGTGGACCCATTACAAACTCTTAATATTAATTTAGGAACAATTCCGTGAAAAATTGTGGTAAAATCATTAAAATACCGAATATCGGGAGTTACCGTTATATGGATTATAGAAAAACATTGACTGAAATTTTCAATACCAACCATATTAAAAATTTGAAAGCTCTACGTCAAAAAATGTGGGCTGTATCGTGATTTCAACAGCAAATTTAATATGCCCCCCTTTCCATGGTGGAGGGTATAACAATTCTACGGACTGTGGAATACATTAAAGTAATTGATTGAATGGTCCTCGATGATCCAGAATGACCACCTACTTCATTCCGTTCGAAAGTTAGAGTGATTTCCACAGACGGGCGGATAGGTCTGAATCACTTTGTGCAGTTTGGTCGCTATTTGCCGAAAATTTTCATTAATTACAGAAATATATAAATATTTTAGCGATTTTTGTCGATAACTCAAAACATGAGTTAGAGAATCCTACTACAGACATCGGAAAACGCACCAAAACTCAATAGCTTTAATTTAAGAAAATGGTACTGCAAAGAACCTACCAATTCCAACATGTCATTAATACATCATCAAAGTCCGCTTTAAGTTGCTTAATTAATAGACATTATATATTTCCGAATTTGAACATAAGTTGGGATATTTTAAATTTCTTCCCGTTGTACAGTTCATTGCAGCTTTGGGACAATCTTCGTAGACGGCTTCATCCATTACATTGTTGTGGGCAAAATTGCAGGCCATCAAACATACCTTGTAATCTTCGCCAGAAACTGAATAAGTGGAGGCAGCACATCCCACACGAGTATTGCGATCCGTTACCATGGCGGTGAAATGACCTATTACCCTGTAATGAGAAAAATTCTAATCTAAAACCATTAAATATTCATAAATAACCTTCCACTTACGCTCCGGTGTGATGTTGAGGATACTTCCGTATGTAGCCCATTTTACATTGGTTAACTTCATCGTACCATATTTGCAGGGAATGTTCAATGAGTTCCACAAAATCTGGTTTATTCTTATAGGTCAACCAGGCTAAATTTTGTCCAGAATTGCGATATGCTTGTGTATTGTGACAGGCTTCCCGTTTCATTTCACACTGCTTGACATTCAATTCGGCCAGTTGAGCCAATTCATCATCCCATTGCATGGTGGCCATACGGCAGGCTGGTCTATGATTGTGATGGCCACCACCTGCTATAAAATTGCGCTTTTCATTGAAGCCATTTACTATGGAGGTCTTTAAAGGGTTAGTTAGATCCATCAAGACCGCATCTTTGGGACAGCTGGGAGCAAAGTTCTGGGAAATTATAGAAGTTATTACTATTGTTATTAAAAAGAAAATTATTAACAAGTAAAAAAGCTGTAAGTTAGGCCGGGCCGATTTTTGAATACCCTTCACCATTTGGAACGAATTTGGCAATTTTCAAAAAAAAAAAAATAATAATAATAAATAAATAAATAAAATTATTAATAAATAAATAAAATCCGCTAAAAATTCTTTTAAAATCTTCGAAAAATACCGAATGTAGGGTATATACGAGGGTCATACGACGACGTGGACCTGCATAGGCAACTTTTGTCATAAGCCATAAGAATATTCAAATACGAAACTCGAAAAAAAATCTGTTTAGAATGTAGCTAAAATCATCAAAATTACCGAATATATGGAGGTACCGTTATATTGGGGCTATACGAAGACCTGCACAGACAATTTTCTGTCTTAGGCTGTAGTATTCATTACGAACTTCAAATAACAAATTTCAAACATTTCCGGGGAATAATGTCGCTTAAATCATCAAAATACCGAATATCGGCAGGTACCGCTATATGGGGGCTATACGAAGACGTGAACCTGCACAGACAATTTTCTGTCTTAGGCTGTAGTATTCATTACGAACTTCAAACACCAAATTTGAAACAATTTCGGCGAATAATGTTGCTAAAATCATCAAAATGCCGAATATCGGGAGGTACCGTCATATGGGGGCTATACGAAGACGTGGGCCTGCACAGACAATTTTCTATCTTAGGCTGTAGTATCAATTACGAACTTCAAATACGAAATTTGAAACAATTCCGGTAAATAATGTCACTAACCGAATATCGGGAGGTACCGTCATATGCGGGCTAAACGAAGACGTGAACCTGCAAAGACAATTTTCTGTCTTAGGCTGTAGCATCTATTACGAACTTCAAATACCAAATTTGAAAGAATTCTGGTGAAAAAATGTTCATAAAATCAATAAAATACCGAATATCGGGAGGTACCGTCATATGGGGGCTATACGAAGACGTGGGCCTGCACAGACAATTTTCTATCTTAGGCAGTAGTATCAATTACGAACTTCAAATACGAAATTTGAAACAATTCCGGTAAATAATGTCACTAACCGAATATCGGGAGGTACCGTCATATGCGGGCTAAACGAAGACGTGAACCTGCAAAGACAATTTTCTGTCTTAGGCTGTAGCATCTATTACGAACTTCAAATACCAAATTTGAAAGAATTCTGGTGAAAAAATGTTCATAAAATCAATAAAATACCGAATATCGGGAGGTACCGTCATATGGGGGCTATACGAAGATGTGAACCCGCACAGACAATTTTCTGTCATAGGCTGTAGTCTCCATTACGAACTTCAAATACCAAATTTGAAACAATTCCGGTGAATAATGTCGCTAAAATCATCAAAATACCGAATATCGGGAGGTACCGTTACATGGGGACTATACGAACACCTGGACCTGAAAAGACAATTTTCCAAATTTCAAACATTTCCTGTGAATAATGTCGCTAAAATCATCAAAGTACAGAAAAAAGGGAGATACCGTCATATGGGGGCTATACGAAGACGTGGACCGGCACAGACAATTTTCTGTCTTAGGCTGTACGAACTTCAAATAACAAATTTCAAACATTTCCGGTGAATAATGTCGCTTAAATCATCAAAATACCGAATATCGGGAGGTACCGTTATATGGGGGCTATACGAAGACGTGGACTTGCACAGACAATTTTCTGTCGTAGGCTGTAGCATCCATTACGAACTTCAAATACCAAATTTGAAACCATTCCGGTGAATAATGTCGATAAAATCAACAAAATACCGAATATCGGGAGGTACCGTTATATGGGGGCTATACCAAAACGTGGACCTACATGACCCATTTTCAATACCAAAAGTCCTGCAGCCATAATACACATTTGAGTAAAATTGTATCAACCTACTTCATTTCGTTCGGAAGCTAGAGTGATTTCCACAGACGGACAGACGGATAGAGGATAGACGGGCAGAGGGACAGTCGGAGAGATGGACGGACATCGCTGAATCGTCATAGAATTTTATGCTGATCAAGAATATTTATACTTTGTGGGGTCTACAATGTATATTTCGACGTGTTACAAACGGAATGACAAACTTAATATACCCTCCATACTATGGTGGATGGTATAAAAAATGCAAAAAAAAACTTACTCCATTATGTTCACATGCAATATGTTTACCCGCAGGACAGAGGCTTTGATCACAATAATCGATGCAATAGATTTCACCAATCAAAACGATAAAAATTGGGATAAGACTATGTTTCATTTTGAGTATTTTTATGCTTGGGCGCCGTTCAACGTTGAATGACTTAAAAATTTATTTCTTCGACCCAATGCCTCTCCAATTGTTTGATTTTATCAATTTTTAAGTCTATTGTCATTGCGCTATTGTGGTAACAGGTGTTCTATTTTTGTTAATTCATGATTAATATTTTGCGAGTCTCAAGCTAAGTAAGATGGGACAGTATAATGACGACAATAGCAAGTATACGTAGTCTCTTTTCGAAGTTTCAAAATTAAATAAATGAATAATTGCAGGCATAACAAGAGTGGGAAATAAAATAGCTATATATGCTGAAATATTATCGATCCGTACTCTTTAATAGACTAGTAAGGTGTCAAATGCCTTACAGATTACCTCCGGAAACATATACTCCCTCTCCAGGGGATGAAAATCTGATGTTTGATTGATTTAAAAACTACACGTTTTCAAATGTCATAATATAAATACAGGGAGAGATGAAAAAACTGCAACCAACTTCCGACTGCTGTCATTTCTAAGCCACTCGTCCGACAGCTGTTAAAATTATTCCAGTGACATCTCATTATATTGCTTACAAGCGTACAAAAGCATTTTGATGAGAATTTTCCAGAAAAAAAGTTATTCGTGATGGAATTCAAGCCATCACGCTTGAATGTGATTTCTTTATATTTGGCTGGAAAACCATAAGTGGCTATCGTTAGAGCACTCCAGCATTTAAATGTGAATAAATCTTTTGTGTCTCGTACCATCACTCGTTACTGTGGTACTGGTAGCGTAGCGCGACGTCAAGAAAGTGGACGGAAGAAAACAGCAACATCAGCAGAAATGGTTTGAAAAGTAAAGAAGCAACTTGATCTAAACCCGCGTCGCAGTGGCCCAAAAATGGCTCGTGAGCTGAACATATCGCAATATTCCATTTAGCAAATATTGAAAAATGAGCTCGGGGTAAAGCCATCGAAATTCCAAAAAGTGCAAGAAGTTACAGCGCAACAGAAAAAAACATAGACCCAAAAGAGCTAAAGAGTTGCTTCGCTTGGCCGAAAGTGGTGAACTGCCGAATTTGGTTTTCTCCGATGAGAAAACATTCGTTGTCCAGCAGTTTTTAAGCAAACAAAATGATCGTGTTTACTTGCCAAAGAGGTCAGCTGAAAATGTGAAAACCTTCGGTTGGCCACCAGAACTCAAGCGCGGGCCATGGTGATGGTGTGGGTCGCCATAACAGCCGATGGTCGCTCTACGCTCGTATTAATCGACCGTGGCATCAGAATAAATGCCGAATATTATCACGAAAATATTCTGGAGTGTATATTAAAGCCTTGGGCACGCAAACATTTTGGCCGCAGACCTTGGACATTCCAATAGGAATCCACACCATCGCACTCAGCACGCGCCACCCATGAATATTTACAAAATGAGGTTCCTCACTTCATTTCTATCCCACAATGGCCACCAAAATCTCCGGACACCAATCCTAGTGTCGATCACTTCAAGCAAGCGCTTTGTTTGCCGGGAATGGACCAAAATACCGCAGAGCAACATTCGGGCAACGTGTGACGGTTTCATTGGCCGTTTGAAGGCCACAACTCGTGCCAAAGGTGACCAATTAGAACAAATCTAAACTTATTCTAAAATTTGATGCTATTTTCGACATTTTTTGCATTCATTCAATAAAATTTAAATTTGTTTAAAATTTGTTGCTGTTTTTTTATCTCACCCTGTATATCCTTGATCAGCGTAAAATTCTAAAACGATTTATCCCTCTCCGTCCGTATGTCCGTCTGTTGTAATCACGCTAGGGTCAAAAGGAATTGAGATAGGAAGCTAAAATTTTGCATAGATTAGTCTATTGTCTGCAATTAGGTCGAAGATTCGAAGTTAGAAGATGGTCTATATCGATCCACGATATCATATAGCCCTGGTATTTGGTATTTTTATGGTTGTAGCCAAAATTTTTCAATGAAATTGTCTGAAAATTCACACAAGAAGTTCCTTCTGAGTACTTTACTGCCTGGAAGAGCATTGTCTATATAGCTCCACGATATCGTATAGCCCCCATACAACGACATCCCCCGATATTCGGTATTTTCATGATTTTAGGGACATTATTCATCGAAGTTGTTAAAAATTGTTTATTTACAGTTCGTAATGGGTACTACAGCCTATGACAAAAAATTACATATGCAGGCCCACGTCTTCGTATAATCTCCGTACCTCGCAATAATCGGTATTTTTATGATTTTACCCACATTACTCACCGGAGTTGTTTCAAATTTCGTATTTAGTGATCGTAATGGGAACTACAGTCTATGACAGAAAATTGTCTATGCAAGTCCAGGTCTTCGTAAAGGCTCCATATATCGGTACCTCTCTATATTCGGCATTTTTACGATTTTAGGTACAATATTCACCAACATTGTATGAAATTTCGTATTTGAAGTTCCTTATAGGTACTACAGCCTGTGACATGAAATTGTCTATGCAGGTACAGGTCTTCGTATAGGCCCCATATATCGGAACCTCCCTATATTCGGTATTTTCAGGATTTTAGCTACAATATTCACCGCAATTGTTTGAAATTTAGTATTTGAAGTTCCTAATAGGTACTACAGCCTGTGACATGGAATTGTCTATGTGACATGGAATTGTCTTCGTATATCGGTACCTCCCTATATTCGGTATTTGAACGATTTTAGCTACAATATTCACCGAAATTGTTTGAAATTTCGTATTTGAAGTTCCTTATAGGTGCTATAGCCTGTGACATGAAATTGTCTATGCAGGTACAGGTCTTCGTATAGCCCTCATATAACGGTATCTCCCTATATTCCGTATTTTCATGATTTTAGCGATATTATTCAAGGGAATTGTTTCATATTTCGTATTTGAAGTTCCTAATGGGTACAGTCTATGACAAAAAATCGTCTATGCAGGTCCACGTTCTCGTATATGAAAAAATTTGCCTATGCACTTCCACGTCTTCGTACTTCGGTACTTTTAAGATTTTAACAGAATTTTGAGCGTTTTTTTTTTAAATTTTCCAAATTCGTTCGAAATGGTGGAATTTACTGCGTTTTTACTTTTTTTTTGGTGCCGATATCCTGTCAAAACATGTCAAATTAATCAAAATTCAGTTGTAACAAAAATTCACAGTTAATAGAGAATACATTTCAGAATTTTGATATAAAATTATATTACCCTTCAACCTTCGAATCATTTTTCTGGAATAAACCTCATATTTTATTCATGTAAAAAAAAGTTTCCGACCCATTTTAGGGAATTTAAATACTTAAATTATAATTTACAAATTTATTCAAACCGATGTGATAATACCGCTTACAATTGAGTATCAAATTTCCTTGCGAAAAAAATATTCTGTCTTCTATTTATCATCACCGAAATTGAGGAAATTTTATATTTGTTTTTAATAGCTACAATACAACAAATAATACCCAATAGAAATATAAACTATTAAAAATTCCATGATTTACTGTGGCAGCAAAATAATTTTTCAAATCTACGATTTTTACCTGAATCACACCCAGCATTCATTCAACCATATTCCCACATTCGTCTCGTGTCGGCTATGAAATACAAACTGTTAATAACATTTATCATGTTCGCACTATTTTGTGGAAAATCCCTTTAAATGAATTGATTAGATGAAATAAAATTTTACGATTATTTTTTGCATTAATTTACAATTCAATTTCAGTTTCATAGTTTGTTGATCTTTTTAATTAATCAAAAACAATATACAATTCGTACAATTATCTTAAACATTTGTAGAGCAAATGAGAAAGATTTGTTAAGATTTTAAGGAAATATACGGTTGAATATGTTTATAAAAGGTAAAGATCAGTTAAAAGTGTTTATAATGAAACGAATATTCGGGTAACTAAGTTGGTCTGAGAAAATATGTAATTTAATATATTTTAAACTACCGCGCCGTAAAAATTTAAGATTGGTATTATTTAAAACTAGATTGAAGAAGTAATGAAAACGATAGATGTTCTATACTTCCGGGTAGCTCTTCTAATTATGTGAACTATTGTAGGGCAACATAACTGAGGCAGTTATTAATATTTAAAACCCGTAAAGAAAATAAAGTCGGCGGGACCAACTTTATGATACTCTACACCACTTTGCATATTTAGTAGAGCTTCACATAACAAATAAAAGTTTTTATGAGGAATTTGTGAGAATTAAATCATACCAACTATGATTATAGTTATAATTTGAAGTCCAAAAGAACAAATATATGAGGCAAATATCCTCCTCTGAATCGATTTCTACTGAATTTTTCGAGGCATTTGTATCTTTTAAATTCGGTATTGTATTGCCCATTTGGTGCGCAATTAATTTGAAATCGGATAAAGATATATATGGGAGCTATATACAAATCTGAATCGATTTCGATAAAATTTGGAAAAGATATTTCTAAGCTGTATTTGATATATTTCCCTGAAAATCGTTGTTACGGAGCGCATATCATGGCTGTGGGTAACAAATATAACAAGTCGGATAAACAATATATAAAGGAGTTATGGCTATATCTGAACCGATCTTCACCAAATTTGACATACTCTCAATTCGGGCGTAAGTGACAAATTCCATCCCATTTGTATGGAATATTAGACGTTTGATGATAAAGGTGAACCGGACGAATTTATATATGGGAGCTATATCCAAATCTGAACCGATCTCAATAAAATATTGCATAGGTATTTCTGAGCTGTATTTGATATATCGTTGTTACGGAGTGCATATTACTGCTGTGGGTAAAAAATATAATAAATCGGATGAACAATATGTATGGGAGCTATAGCTATATCTGAACCGATCTTCACCTCCATGTAATAGAACTTCACTATATTGATGGTTTTTAGCTACATTATTCACCGAATTTTTTTCAAGTTTCTCATTTGAATATTGCAATGGCTTATGACAAAAGTTGCCTATGCAGGTCCTTGTCGTCGTTTAGACTCAAAAATGACGACTACATTAGGTATTTTTTAAAGTTTTAACAGAATTTTTATCGGATTTTATTTTTTTGAAAA